TAAATCTAGCCCATAAAATACCCCATAAATGGCATCTAGTTCCCTAGGAACCTATAGAAATGTAATGTGTGGTGAGAGCACACAGAGGGGCAGGCAGACTTTACCTGAAGACCATTTATTTGCCCTGTGGCAAATATCCTGTTAGCCTATAAAGTTTGGCTTTTGTCTCCTTTTCTTTATCTTAAAACTACAAAGGTAGCTCCCTTTCGGAAGGCAGGGATCAGGGTAGCTAAAACAGGAAGCAGGAATGATATCAGTTAGTCAGGAAAAGGGGTAGCGTCACCTTTTAGTTGATTTTCACTGGGAAAAGCCTAAGATTAGGGGCAAGAGAAACATGGCCTGGAAGGTACAAGAGCAGAACCACGGGGAAGCAACAACTGGGGGAAGTGCCCGTGTGTCTAGAAGCTGTGCCAGCCTTAGCAGTTTGTCCACCCATCATATGCGTAGAGCTGTTCACTTAATGAACACTGTTCTAATCAGTTAAGAAAACCCCATGAACAAAACATGTAATTTATATTTTAACCATCATCTTTTCTGTGCACAAAAACTTGCCTATCCACTCTCCAGATACTGCCTATGTGGGAACATGAACACACAGGTAAAAGTCCTCCAGTAATTATTCATTTGTCCACCTGTGGCATCAACCCTTAATAAACCCCAGACATTTATAATCCCTAAGGGGACCACCTCTAGGCTTCGAGCAGAGTAGGAAAGGGAGGATGCCCATGAGGGGTCTGCTACAGCACTCCAAGCAGGGGGTTAAGGGGTGTGGACACTCCTATTACATGTTCTGTTACTCTTATCAAACAATTCAAAATAAAATACTCTTTATTTCAGTAGAGTCCTCTATCACCTCCTCTCCTCCAGGTCACAGGCTGAATGTCAAACATTTACTTGGTTCTCTTCTCTTGTTGCCTGCATGAACCTCATTCAATCAAAATTCCAAAACAATCTTCCATTGTAGTTAGGGCTGGTTAATGATTGTCTTATCACAAAAAAGGCTGCGAAATGGCCCTTCTCCAAGACCACTCTGACTGCCTCCTCCACTGAACACCCAGCTCTCCTGTAGACCCACCGCATAGCCAACCTCGTGGCTGGTTGGGAGGGCTCAAGACCTTCTTCTGAGCCCAGAGTCTACTAATCTCAGTGCCCACTCACCTGTCCTAAAATTCTAGGCTCTTCATCAGAACTTTTTCCCCCCAACCTAAATGCTAGTACTGTTCTTCTCTGAGGAGCTGAAATGCCATTTCCAAATATCATATGAGATAATACATCCAGCATTCTCTGCCCATTTGAGATTTCTGAGGGGTTTGGCGCAGAGGCTTTTTGTGCTGTGGGGGTTTCTTTCTGTTCAACAGGTTTTTGTTTTAAACATTAACTAGGCCACTTGCCAATCTTGGGCTTGGAGGGCAGGGCTAAGCAGGGGAGCAGGTGGGAGTGCTGGTTTCGGTGGTTGCACAGAAGCCAGGCTGTGCGCACTCATCATCCCCCTGTCACCACTGTGAGGGCCACCCTCTTGTTTCTCCCTCAGATCACCTCCAGGAGGCCTGGGGAGCTGTCTCGATGAGTCCATCAGAGGGTTCAGACAGGAGATTCCAGTTTTCGTTTGAAAAAAAAAAATCAAAAAAGAAAACTTACTTCAACCAGCATTATGCAAAAGTAGCCTAGCCTTTTGTGGAAAGGGAGAAGGTCCAGGAGGTGGTAATTTAGAGGCAGCTGATAAGGAGGAAGGAAAGAGTTTCACCAGTTGCTGATCAAAAAGCACTAGTCTTTATAAGTAACCTGAGTTTCCACCAAGTTTCCTCTCGTACACTGGATTGTGGTAGCAAATGAGATGACATTCACCCAAATATCATGGCCCTTGCCACTACCTAAGTGCTCAACACTTCAGTTTTCTACAGTTCTGAGACTCCTGAGGAAGGTTTTCATTTATTCGCAAATAAGTGCACCAGCTACCAAAGGCCACTGCTAGGTATGACTGACACTTCCTTGGGTACTGCATACCAAAAGACTGATGTCATACTACTGTGAGTGCAATATAATTACACACACCCCTCTGACTGAACCATTCTCCATCTTACATATATTAAATATTAATAAAATACTTGTATACATACACCCATAGAAATATGACCTATTTATACTTGTGTGATAAGTCTCCCAGATGGAATTACTAAAATGTGCAACTACCACTCCATTACTATAAGAATATAATTCAGAGCAATGGAATCCAATCTGATGTTTTGAATAAAGCAGATTTTTTTGTTGTGAACGAAAATTGTAAAAAGCTGTCACTGGGATTGTCCCTCCAGCTGAGTTCTCGGTTTGCAAGCGTTTGTGCCCGTCAACACTTCCTACTGGAGAGCACTTCTTTCACCATTCCACATGCAGCTACACTGAATGCTGTGGAATCTGTGACTCTCAAATTTCATGGGCTCTGAGAATGGTAAATACAGGGTCCAGCACAAACAACGCCCTTTTTATTACAAAATCTTTTATTACAAAATCATAAGCATGTAATTCTGTAACATAACAATATCACACTCAAGCACACCATATGACATTTTCAGTGAAATTTTCAAATTAAAACTATAAATTAGTATGCCCATATTATTACCCTACCAACAACACTCAGGCAGGCATTACTTCTGCTGGATCCTGTATTGTCTTCCCTTGGCTCCATGCCATGATAGTGCAAACTTTATCTTGAAGGAAGTCAGCCCAGAATACTATGAATGTAGCTACTTGGTTCCTGACCCCTCCTCTGCCCCACCCCAACTCCAAGCAAAAATTCCTCAGTTGATTTACAATGCCTACTAGAAATGTGAAGATATTCAGCAGGCTGGTTATCATGTGAATCAGAAATTTAGAAAACAGCATGACTGCAATTATGGTAAACTGATTCTCTACTCAGATATCCTGGTACTTCACCAAAAAGTCATTCAGCAGATTGTGGCTAGTAGGCAAAATATTTGCCTTATTGATTGATGAATGCAGGGGTATTTCCAACCATTCCGGATTAACAATTTATATCTACCATTATAGCACTGGAAATACTATTACTGTTAAAGACTTTTCTAGTTTTATAACTGGGGAAGTGGTTTTCAAACTTGCCTGCCTTTGAGTGTGTTTGTTGATTGGACCTTGTTTAAGAAGAGTGAATTCAGTGGGCATGCTTGGCTGTGGAGCTGCTGCAATGCCTGCACAGCAGGGGCTCCCTTGTTCGGAGCTGTGCTTTAAACCTGAATGAAACCCTGTTTTATTCATGAACAAGCTTGAGTAGCCAAAAGATTGAGTATGCATTTGCACAGAACATTGGATTTTGCCTTTAAGATAGCAAGTGTTATGAAGGTAGGGGCACTGCATTCCATCTTTTTATCTTTTTGAGGTGTTTGAGATAATACTCATTTGAGATGTTTGAGGGCATAGCCACTTATTGTTTCATTCAGAAATAAATAAAATGGGATGCCTCAGAGAGGCATGTTAACATATTTATTTGGACTTAAAAAATGAAGGCAGATACATGACAGTGAGTATGTTTATTTCTTTTGGCTGATGGGTTTGACTATAAAGATGGCTTTGCCAATCAGGTTATAATGGCAGATACTCCCAAAACTTGAATGAACTAAATCTATGGCTCTAATTTTTTGAAGAATATATATGTAAAGTACATGGTAAGATTTGCAAAGTATACTTAAAAATATCATATTGACAAGAGTGGGTGTCTTGAGAGGTTAACAATATTTAGATTTTTTCAATACTTTGATCATATTATAATAAATAGGGTGCCTTCAGATGAAAGACCAACTGCTACAGTCAACAGTCATTCAGTGAGCCATGGTAATGCCTTCTTGCTATTCTCCCCAGAAATTAAAAACATAAATATGTTGGGTTCTGTGAAGGATCTGATGGATCCTACTTAAAATCTGATAAACAAATCAGTTAAGTTTTCATGGATGCAGACAAAAGACATGAAACTCGTGGGTCAGAGATTATGACCTTTATTACTCTTGGCGCAACAAGAAGCAGGAGCGTGATACTGGTTTGCTTTGGTTTCCTCTGCCCCTCAAGTCTCATGGGGACAATGCAGGTAGATGTGTGGACTTATATAGATGCCATGCACACTGGGTTTATGCCACACTGAGCTTGGGGGATTCAGCGCTTTTATAGCAAGCAGAAGCAAGCCTGGTCTTTGCCTGGGGAGAGAAGTTATCTCATCTCAAGAAGGCTTGCTACTCTGAGAAATGGCTCAGATAAAAAGCATCCAGAGCCTTACATTATTGGTATACTCGACAAGAATGTGCCAGGACATCAGGACCTAGGGTGGATTGCCTCTCCCAATAAAATACTCTCATAACTGGGTAACAAGTTCTCCTGCAAGTTGTATAGTCCCCACTTCTCAGCTTTCAACAAAATTGAAAAAGAATTTCATCAAGTTGTTTAATTGAGGATGATGAATACTTTCCTCACTGAGGCCATGAAATTGAGAGTCACAGATCATTAATAATAATTTTGATAATAGAATACTATATAATTTCTGGCATAAAATTCAGATGTGAATCAGAGAATTTTGAGAAATTGCCATCATAAAATTCCTCCCATTCCCATCTTCTTATTTATGTGAACAAGTGCTCTCAGCGGCCATCGCTATAAATGGAAAAAAGAGGAGAGTCGGTGCCAAACCTCCACCCGAACAATTAGTAACATCCATCCATGGACGTGTGAACTTGGAGAGAGATTTTTAAAGCCCTATCAGTTTCATAGGAGATATGTTCCCAATAAATATTAATTTTTTAAATTTAGTAATTACTAATTGCAACATATTTAGGCTGTTTTGAGTAAATATGTACTAGTAATATTTGCAACAATAATACAATTCAAAAAATTTAATTCTTAGCTCATAGTCACAAAAAATTTAAACATATTTTATTTTAATTTTTAATTAGAAAGTTTTGATCTTAAATTTAATTTCAATCTCAGCACATTCATTTGTTGAAGCAAAGTCTGACAGGGCAATACATGAAACTTTCAAACATAGTGCACCCATTGGGATAAAATTTTCTGTGAGAAATCAAATGGAGTGACACAGGTTCCAGAAACACGAAAGGAACATTACAAAACTCCAACTGTAAGAAAAAGACAAATGCCATATGATTTAACTTATATGTGGAATCTAATGAACAAAATAAACTAGCAAACAAAATAGAATCAGACTTATAGATACAGAGAACAGACTTACAGCTGTCAGCAGGGAGGGGATGGTAGGCCTGGTTGAAAAAGTTAAAGGGATTAAGAAAAGTAAAACCTCATAGACAGACAACAGTGTGGTGGTTACCAAAGGGAAAGCAGGATGGGGAGAGGTAGAAGAGGGCGTAGGGGGGATAAGTGGTGATGGAAGGAGAGGTGACTTGGGGTAGTAAACACAATATAATATAGAGTTGATGCATTATAGAATTGCATACCTGAAACCTATATAATTTTATTAACCAGTGTCACCTCAATAAATTTCATATTCCTTTAATGAAAGATGATAAATGTCAGATTGCTATGGATTAGGTTTCATTAAATACATTTAAAAGAAAGCTATAATATTTGAACTTAAAATGTCAATGTAGGTAATAAACCAAAAATTGACTTTCAAATAACTATAATTTAAAAACCCAATCATAAATGTTTAAATTATTAGGGAATATGTCCTTTTCTAAAATTATCAGTGATACACAGACAAAATAAAAAACATAGGCTACCTTTTTTAAAATAATCATCTAATAATAATAAAATAATTAAAAATAATCATCATCATCTAAATTCAGAAAGCTGTGACCAAAAAAGAAAAGACAACCCCTGCCATTAAGAAGTTTAGCATGTATTAGGATAAATGTGTGTGAAAGCATAGAGCTGTCCCAGGCCAGAGGACTGATAAAAGTTAGTTTCCCTTACCTTTAACTACCATATTTTTTTCTACATTAAAATCACATGTCTCCTTATTATGGACTAGAGAGAAAAAAAAATCACATGGCTGGTAATCAACTTTTATTTAATACTTCTTCATAAGCTAAAGAGAGTTAAATCACCTTAGTAGTTTTCTTTTTAATTCCAGTTTCAAATATTAATTTAAAAATAGCAGGAAAAGGAAAAGGTAGAGACAATAGAAAAAGAAGGAGTTTGAGGAGGGGGAAGAAGGTGGGGAAGGAAGGAGGGAAGGAAAGAAGGAAGGAAGGAAGGAAGGAAGGAAGGAAGGAAGGAAGGAAAGAAGGAAGAGAAGCTTTTAAAAAACCCTGTGTACTGTATTCCCAAACCAAGTAACTGGGATAACTTTTGTGTTGATTTAAGCACACATTTAACCTAATGAATTTTCCATTGTTCCCACCTGTTTCCCAAATAGCTTCAACTGTTCTGTCTTTGACCTGCTTTGACTCAATCCTATGTGGAATCTGCATTGTTGGAACACCCCACTCCTGGGCTTCTCCACCACAGGGTTGGCCTTGGCAGCAGCTGGGAAAACCTCCTGGGGAACAGCTGGTGTCCAAGGCCCCACATTTCTGCCATCACAGAGGGTCAGAGTAGTTTTCTGAAATAATGGTTTGAAGGGGGAAACATTTCATTAAAATAACACTTTGCATTTGCCGTATTTTTCCATTGACAGAAACCTCCCACAGTCATTATCTCATTTGGTGCCATTTGGTCTTCAGAACAGACCTGGCAGATTCTGTTAACATGAATCAGGAGCCAAAGCCCTGGGTCTGGGTTCTCACCCTTGCTCTGATGTTTATTCCATGAACGACAGTGGGGACAAAAACCACTTTAAGTCTCAGGATTCCATTTCCTCAGCACAAAACAGGAAGGCTAGGCTAGATGATCACCCCTTAAAATGAACATTTATGGACAAACACCTCAAAGCAACCTTTTCACAGTCAACTCCATCCACTGCTGAATGAAATCCAAACTGGCTTGTCACCTTTGTCACACCACTTACTGTTCACCAGCTCAAATACGACTAAAGTAAACCAAAACCACCTTGGTATGCATCATAACAAATAAGCTACATCAGTTAATCTTCCCCAAGAACCTAACAATGGAGGAAGTTCAGGTATTATTACCTCTAGTTTTTAGATGAGGAAATCAAAGTGAGAATCAGTGATTCCTGGCAATCCCACAGCAGGTAGTGAAGTTCTACCTCCCAGTTCAGAGGAAACCAAACCATCTTGGACATGAGAAAGTTAACACCACCTTCATGGGCATCCAGCTTCACAACGCTGATGATTGTCAGCCATTTGATTGAAAAAAGTGTAGTCAACTGGGACACAGGACACTTATCTGATCTCTGGTCCACACAAGTCAGCTCATGGGGCCATGGGTGTCTCTATATCAAACTGGGTGTTTTGAGCACATTTTCAAATTACTCATTGCTGAAGGATGGATGGAGGTGGTGTCCAAATTAAAACCTTCACCTCCCAGTGGCTCTGCCCTGTCTGTGCCCTGTGTGTGCCCTGTATGTGCCCTCCATATCCTTGTTGATTTGTTTCTCCCGCATTGGGTGGGTCTCTCCTTGACAACTGGGGACCACATTTAGCCAAGCAGCTGCCCATTGGCGTCTAAAGCCTGCGATATGTAGTTCTGGCAGCATCTAAAAGGATTTATTATTATCATCCCATGATTTCATTATTATTATTATCATCCTTATGAAATTTGGTGGCTGAGCCCACTACAAAGCATTAAGCCCTAGTTTAACATGAAACAGTCTGTTTTCTTCAGTCCCTCCACAGTTGAGGGGCCCTCCACCCTGCCCAGTCTCTGCTTACTGTTGGAGGACTCTAAGAGGTGGCCTGCAGCCATGGACAGGTCAGCCTGAGTATTCCCTCCACCACCGCTGCCCTGTCCCAGGGTCTCCTCAACAGGGAACAGGCTCTTCACCAAATAGAAGGCAATCAGAATGTAATACAGAGAACACTAAGCTACGGGTCAGGAGATGAATGTTCTGTGACCAAGGGCAAGTCTCTGCTAATTTGGACCTTGGTTTCCTCATCTATTAAACAAGGTAACCAGGTGAGGTTATTTTGAAGAGTAATCTTGAGATAATCTTTCCCAGACCAGCTCTAATTTTACCCTTTCCCTGGCATCTGGACATTTCCACAGGGAAGAGCACCTTGATAGGGAAGATCTCAGGGGAAGACCCTCCCACTTGTCACTTGTCACTTGTCACTTGTGTTAGGGAAAACACAGGTAGCTCTTTATCAGGGAAATAAGAATTCCTCACCTAAAATGTGCCAAGGTTAGGGGTCCTAAGCTTTGGATTCCATCCCAGCTTTTTTGATAATTGGCCATGTGTCTCTTAGCAAGTCCCCTCTGTACCTCTGGTGGCTCATCTTCCCAATTTAAATATCAATACCTCTTTCACTTCACCCAGTCTTTGAGGCTCTCAAGAAAATGTGTCTTGAAAATGTAAAGTATAACCACATATACAGATAAGGCATTAAATTAAGGTCACTTCCCTCCTTGACCCTAGAAAAATCTTAGAACTAGAGGATTGATACAATACTATAAAGATTCTTATCTTCCTATCAGTAGGATAGCTGTAGGTTTAATTTTTGTTGTCAGTTTTAGAAAACCTCATTCCAATTTGATTTAAAAAACACTTGTTAGGAGCCCACTGGGCACTTTATATTGTTCTGGAGACAAAAGAAGGTACCAAAGAAGTATAAACTTGACCTCCAGGAGTTCACCATCTTGTGAATGCAAACAAATTGTAAAACAAACTTTAAAACAGTATAATGACATGTTAGCATGTATATAGACCTATAACAAATGCTTACCTTACCCACATTGGGATCTGAGCCTTCAGCAGAGGGGTAGATGGGTGCTGACTGACCCAAGTTTGGGGTGGGCTGCCTGAAAGACAGAACTGGAGACAGGCTGTGAATGAGTGGAACTAGCAGTTTTCCACATTTATAATAGCAGACCTTCAATAACAAATGCCAGGATTAAATAAGAAAAAGAATTTTAATATCGATGATTGGAGAGAAATGCTTATTCCTCTATATTCAAAAGCAACAGATTTCAGACCATGATTTTTCAGGTGATAATTATCAGAGAATCCCAATTTATGTTTACTTAAGATGTAGAAATAGTAGCACTATCTTGTTACATATAAATGTGCAATCTAAAGGAACTCCTTTTAAGATCTCCTGCTGTGAGTATATTTTCACAAAGTGGCTGCTTTGTGTCCCAAGCCTTCCCCAGACTGACCCCTTCACAGAGCACTGAATCCAGCCACAGGTTAATTAGTGCTTCCTAAATACACTCTGCACATTCCTACTTCCAGGCCTTTGCTCAAGCCCTTCTCCCATCTGGGAAAGCCCTTCCCTCACCTCTCCAGGTACGTGAGCCCATCCTGTCTTTAGGACCCACCTGAGCCCGATGTCCTCCATGAAGATTTTACTGCCTGGTCCATCACTTATCAATCTCTGCTTCTGAATGCCAAAAATGCTTATTTTCTATACTATCAATTTCAATTTTTTTGTATTTTTCCCCAGATATAGTTCCTATCCCGAAAAGAACCTATTTCAGTCTCTTAAGGCAGGGAACATAGTCACTCCTTTGTATTTCCTTTGCTTAATATAGAATACCACAATTTGGCAGACACTCACTAAATATATATGTGAATATATATAAAGTTTTATATATAAAATAATATTTGTATATATATAATTGAGCATTTATCTAGTCAAGTCCCAAACTAGCCATGTTTTTCATAACTCCACCACAATGACCCTCCCATTTGAAAAAAATGGCCAAAGTATATTAGAAATGACCTAAAAGGGTTGTAACTGAGGCGGTGTATATTGACAAAACCTAAAATAAACCCAGTATCCTAAAAAAAAATTTAGTGTCCTTACTTTTTAAAAAATAACACATGTATTATTTCAGTATATCCCATAAACAGAAATATTAATATAGATTTGCCTATCTGAAAAAGGATTTAGCAAAGGACATTTCTCCTTGCAATGAGACAGCTGAAGAGGTGTAATTTAACAGCTTGTAGAAGCCCGTCACTGTGGTGATTGAGGTGGACATAAGGCATGGACATCACCAAGGCCCTTAAAAGACACAAACAGGTGGGAGAGTGTGCTGGGGGTGGGCACAGGCTGCAGAGTACAAAAAGGAAGAGGCCAGCCATCCGAGAGCAGAGACAAGAGGAGGCAGAGAGGGAGACTGCCCGAGGAAGGGGAGGAGAGAAGAGGAGAGCAGTGCAAATCTGAAGCTAGGTCACATCTAGACAGGACACAGTAAGAGGTAAAGCCAGAACAAATGCCAGAAGTAAAAGAGTGAAAGGCAAATGAACAGACAGGGCACAAATAAGGAGAAAGGATGGATTCTCAGGAGAGGGGATGCACATTAAGGGAAGACAGATGATTTCTCTGTGTGACCAGAAGGATAGCGATTACAAAGATGAGAATGGCAGGAAAGGGAAGAAAAGGGAATAAGTAAGGAGACAAAATAAGTCACATAAGTACACAAGTACTAGTTAAATGCCTAGAAAATGATCAGGTAGTTAGGCTAAGCTGGAAAGAGAACCACAGCTCTACCAAAAAGGGGACCATCAGAGAGGCAGAGGCAGGCAGTTTAAGGGACTAGCTACTGAGGTGAAATTGCAAAAAATAAAAATAAAAAAGAAAGAAGAAGATGGAAAAGGTGAGAAGCAGGAGAGGGAAAACCCAAAGGAGACACTGGCCCAGAAACCTTTTTAACTTTCTGTAAAAATCTTCAAGGCCCCAAACTAGGCCAAGATTCTGACTGACATTTCTGAGCTCACCAGCTGCTGTTTCCTTGAGAGTATTCTGACAGGAAGGCATAGAAATGCAAGCCAACACTGCCGGCTCTGGACAAAATAATAATACTAACACTCCATGCTCTAACCACCACCATGGGGCTGACCCCTCCCACGGAAGAAGGCACACAGAGGAGGAGGGACCTGCCTGCATCGTTTCCCCAGGTAAGTCCTGAGCTGCTCCCCCATGCTGCTTTCTCCTCTAATTGTCCTCTGGCCATTCCTGTCTTGCCCATCTGTCTTTCTTTCTTTGTGCATTTTTGGGAAGCCCTGCGGGTGATCTGCTTCTGTCATCTGAAGCCAGCACTGCAGTATCTGTAGGAGCAGGTGAAGCACCCCATCCTGCATTCTGCACTTCACACAGGTGGGGGAGGACTGCTACAATCCAGATCCATCTGGCAGAGCTAGGTGAGGGGAAACGAATGAGAGAAATCACCCCTGCCTGCATTATCAGTATGTGGGAATGAATTGTGGGCTAGTTAGTATTGACAGTAAACTAGTTTCTGTGTGCTGGGACTTGAAGCAAAGGCCGAGAGGAAGGGTAGGTGTGGAAGACAGAGGGACAATAAAAGATTGCTCCTGGGCAGAGATCTTGCATAGTCACCCCAAGTAGGGGCTGGTCAATTATTTAAACAATAGCTAGGGTTTGAGGAGTGTTGGATGCAAATTTGACAGCACATGACCTTGAACTTGGGGCTTGCCCTTTCAGTGACTTGATAAAATATTTTGAATGCATATTGAAATTTTCTTCAAAGAAACTCAGAGGAATTTAATTCTAATATGTAATTTATCTCAAGTATGCAATCATCGAATGGGAATGTTTTCTTCAGATGAGCCCGCAGATGTCCCCACTAAGACAATGTGAAATGTTACATGTTCAAAAAAAAAACAACTAAGAGACTAAGTTCCCCAGAAATGTATTTCTTTGGAAAACTAGGACAAGAACCAGATTCTCTGACTTGTTCCCTGGACCTTAAGCAATTCTTAATTCTCACTCAATTTAATAGGTTCAAAAAAAATTTTGGAACTAACGATCTTTATCATTATTCCTTATTATTATGTTATCTTACATTATATTATCAGTATCATCCCTCTGCAAATATGACTTGGGGTTGTGTGGGTCAGTGGACCCTCTGCTGGGCTATCTTCTCAAGAAAAACTTACCTCATTTTATACCGACTTTTCACCTAACTTCACTGAAGGTTTACTGGTAAGAATTGGAAGCCAAAGGGATGATTCCCAGTAGTGTTCAACCCCTCAAGCTGAAAATTCTTAGTAACTTCACAGACAAGTTTCCCCTCCCCTTGGAGTGTAGGCCTCCTGTCTGTATCCTCACTGGCAAAGGCTCCAAAACCACATTCTTGAAGAGACACCTTCTCAGCTTCTCTGTGGCTTTACTCCTCTTCCACCACCTCATTATTAGGAAGCTCAGAATCGGGGGGGAGCAGTTTCCTGCTCTTGAACTGTTGAGCATCAGAAACACTAATTGAACTAGAGCAGTGGTTCTCAAAGTGTAGTCCCCCAGAGAAACACTATTAGAATCACCTGGGAACTTGTCAGAAATGCAAATTCTCAGATCCCACCCCAGGCAAACTGAACCAGAAACTCTGGGGGTACAACCTGGCAATCTGAGGTTTAGCAAGCCCTCCAGGTGACTCTGATACACGGAGTTAGAAAGTTGATTTCTTAAAGTGCTCCTTTCTGAACCCACAGAGCTCAGATCTCCTTACAGGTGTGACTTTGGTCATCTACAGGGCTATAGCTGCTAAAGGAGACCCTTCCACAAACAACAACCTTTCAGTGCCTTGTGTCCTCCATCTGTTTAAAAAAAGGAACATTTAAAATATAAGTTACTTGTTACAACACTGAGAACAGTGCCTCCACACAGGAAGTGCTAGGTGTGGTAGACATGCTGGTGGTGGTGACAACTTTACCTGCTTATCCTTATATGCAAAAGGTCTTCACTAAAGCAATAGGTGGTATGGGAAATCAAAAATAAAGCTGTCAGGATCCCAGTCCTCATGAAAGGAGATGCATACACTGCAGGCACACAAGGAATCAGACAGCAAGGTAAGCTGTGATATGTGCCCGTGCACAGGTAGAAACAACAGGAACTAAGAAGAGAAAGAGCTCCAACTGGGAGCAAACTTGGTGGAGGAAGCGTCATATGAACTGAGCCTTAAAGAGAGCAGTTTTAACTAGTGAAGATGGGCAAAGGGAAAAGAACATTCCAGGTGAACGCTGAGCACAGGACACATTGCAAAGATAAAAGATTAGTGGTCAGGTGTGGACAAGAGCACCCAGTCACCTTCTGTGACTAACATGTCAACTGTTCGCGTGTGGAGAGAGACTACCCCATCCCTAACTGTTCATCACCACGTTTGCCAACACCCTTCCTTTAATCCAAATGGATTTTCCCGTAGTTGAGTCTTTTCCAGTATTGATGCCATTACCTTGGCACCCATATCTCTCTGTCTTGTTTATTATTAGATCAATGTTTTTAAAATCCTCAGCTCACTGGCAACACAATAAATTGAGAATGGTTGCAAAAATGCAGATTCCTGGGGCCTGGCCCAGGTGGCTCAATTCAGCATCTTTGAGAGAAGAATCTGCACTTTAACAAGCTCCCTTCTGATTCTAATTTCACTCAAGTCTGAGAGCAGCTCTCCTAGAGATTTTCGCCCAGATTTGCTGAGCATAGAAGTCACCTGGGAGTGCTCATTAAAAATATGGATACCCACCCATTCCCATGCAGATTTCAATCCCATGGCTCTGGAGTGGGGTGTAGAGAACAAGAGTTCACAGAATTCAGTGCCTTTGTGGCACTAGGGATCAGGCAAGCTTGGGAAACAGAGACTATTAGAATGAATGTGTGCTTTGGGTTGCAGAGATGCTTCAAGTCATAGGTCAGCCACATATAAGCTGTGTGATTTGGGTGAGTTTCTTAACCACTATATGTCTCCAAATTACGTTACCTGCTAGAGATACTTTTGTCCTGAGTAATCAAAGAAACTTTACAGAATTGCTGGAAGTATAAATAAGTAAACAACTTAATATAATGGTGGCTCCATCTC